GATACAATGAGTATATTTGGGACTCAGTCTCAATCAATCAGCACGTTTGTGTACGTGTCTGTATGTGCTCAGTAATGATTTGCTACTTGTCAGTAACACTACTTGTCACACATGGTTGTTGAAACTATGTAACAACGTGATGTCTTTCTTTGAGGGAGTAACAAGGTGTGGAGCTGGATGAACACAGCAGTCCAGGCAGCATCAGAGGAGCAGGAAAGCTGACTTTTTGGGACTGGACCCTATTTCAGAAATGGGGGAGGGGAAGGGGACTCTGAAATAAATAGACAGAGGTGAGGAGACGATGATGGCAGGTGGATAAAGGACCAGATAGGTGGAGAGAAGATGGACAGGTCAGGGAGGTGGGGCTGGAGCCAGTAAAGGTAAGTGTAGGTAGGGAGTTGGGATGGGGGTTGGTCAGTTGAGGGAAGACGGACAGTTCAAGGAGGTGGGGATGAGGCTCGTAGGCAGGAAGTGCGGGTGGGGGTTGGTCAGTGAGGTGGGGGGAGCGGATCGGTGGGAGAAAAGATGGACAGGTCAAGGAGATGGGGACGTGTTGGGATGAGATTGGGGGTGGGGAGATTTTGAAGCATGTGAAGTCCACATTGAGACCATTGGGCTGCAGGGTTCCCAAGCGAAATATGAGGTGCTGTTCCTGCAGCCTTCAGGTGGCATCGTTGTGGCACTGGAGGAGGCCTGGGATGGACATGTCGTCCAAGGAGTGGGAGGGGGAGTTGAAGTGGTTTGCGACTGGGAGGTGCAGTCATTTGTCACGATGCGAGCGTAGGTGTTCGACAAAGCGGTCTCCAAGCCTCTGCTTGGTTTCCCCGATGTAGAGGAGGCCACAACGGGAACAGTGGATACAACACACCACATTAAACAGATGTTTACCTGCACATCTGCTAATGTGGAAGGTTTTCTTGGGGCCTAGGATGGGGATGAGGGAAGAGGTGTCCGGGCAGGTGTAGCACTTCCTGCGGTTGCAGGGAAAAGTGCCGGGGTGGTGGGACTAGTGGGGAGTGTGGAGCGGATGAGGGAGTCACAGAGAGAGTTGTCCCTCCAGAAGGCAGATAAGGGTGGGAAGGGAAAAATGTCCTTGGTAGTGGGGTCAGATTGTAGGTGGTGGAAGTAGCAGAGGATGATGCGTTGAATCCGGAGGTTGGTGGAGTGATACGCGAGGACAAGAGGGATTCTGTCTTTGTTGTTATTGTGGAGGGTGGGTGTGAGGGATGAGTTGCGGGAAATGCGAGAGATGCGGTCGAGGGCATTTTTGACTACTGTGGAGGGGAAATTGCAGTCCTTGAAAAACGAGGACATCTGCGATGTCTGGGAGTGGAATGCCTCATCTCGGGAGCAGATGCGGCAGAGGCGAAGGAATTGGGAATATGGGATGGCATTCTTGCAAGAAGGTGGGTGAGAGGAGGTGTATTCGAGGTTGCTGTGGGAGTCGGTAGGCTTGAAATAGATATCAGTTTCCAGGTGGTTGCCAGAGATGGAAACAGAGATGTCCAGGAAGGAGAGAGAGGTATCAGAGATGGTCCAGGTGAACTTAAGGTTGGGGTGGAAGGTGTTAGTAAAGTGGATGAACTGTTCGAGCTCCTCACGGGAGCACGAGGCGGCGGCGATACAGTCATCGATATAACAGAGGATGGGGCCAGTGTGGCTGCAGAAGAGCGGCAGTTCCATGTATACTACAAAGAGGCAGGCATAGCTTGGGCCCATGCGTGTACCCATGGCCACCCCCTTTGTCTGTAGGAAGTGGGAGGAGTTGAAGGAGATAATGTTTAGGTTAAGGACGAGTTCAGCTAAGCGGATAAGGATATCGGTGGAGGGGGACTGGTCGGGCCTGCGGGAGATGGAAGAAGTGGAGGGCTTTTAGGCCGTCTGCATGGGGATTGCAAGTATACAGGGACTGGACGTCCATGGTGAAGATGAGGTCTTGAGGACCAGGGAATCGGACGTTTTGGAGGAGGTGGAGGGCATGGGTGGTGTCACAGACGTAGGTGGGGAGTTCCTGGACCAGGGGGGAGAAAATGGAGTCGAGATAATTGGAGATAAGTTTGGTGGGGCAAGGTCACGCAGAGACAATGGGTCAACTAGGGTAGTCGGGTTTGTGGATTTTGGGAAGGAAGCAGAAATGGGTGGTGCGGGGTTGGGGAACGATGAGGTCGGAGGCTGTGGGTGGGAGATTACCTGAGGTGATGAGGTTGTGGATGGTCTGGGAGGTGATGTTTTGGTGGTCAGTGGCGGGGTCATGATCAAGGGGGTGGGAGGAGGATTCTTTCTTTATCTGGTTTGTGACATTATAAAATACCCTTAATAAATGTAAACTTGATTCCGTTCCTGTTCGAGTACTTTCAACAAGGAGTCAGCCATTAACATTTCAGACATGATGTGAATGTTAATGGGCTATCAATGAGATTAATTGGAACTAGCATGATGTCAATTGACAATGGAAACAAAAAAAACTTGCCTTTCCTCAGTTGTGTTTGGTTGGTTGTATCTTTGGATACGTCCCTGGAAATTGAGCTCAATACAAGTCTGATTCAATCCACTCTGTCACTGTGGAAAGGATATTCTCCATTCTGATCGCAGTAACATACCTGCTGTTAGTTAGAAGCAGCTGCTCACACTTGGCTTTGTACCGACGAAATATTACATCATCTTGGTCCTTCAAGTATTTTCCTGGAGGAAGACAAAAGCGATATCTCCTGTAAATCAACATCAGCCAAGTTTGACAATCTCAAACAGATTAACATATATTCAGTTAACAGTTATTAGGATGTTTCTTTTCTTTAACTTCACCTGTCAAAGGAGCAGAACTCCAAAAGCTTATGATCTTAAATAAACCTGTTGGACGAGAACATTGTGTCATGAGAATTCTGTCTTTTCTTTAAAGCCATCAATTCAAACACAAGTCACATCGAGCTGCTCCTTGTCTGAGGCTTTTTTTTTTTAAATATATAATTCGATACCAATTGAGTCAGATTCAGAAACTGAGTAATAATTGCACAACTCCATCTCAGATGCTACCCGAAGATGCTGCGCACTGACCTCTACATCGCCGAGGCCGGACGCCAACTCTCCGACACCTCCTCCTACCGCCCCCTTGATCATGACCCCACCCCTGAGCACCAAACCATCATCTCCCAAACCATCCACAACCTCATCACCTCAGGTGACCTCCCACCCACGGCCTCCAACCTCATCGTTCCCCAACCTCGCACTGCCCGCTTCTATCTCCTTCCCAAAATCCACAAACCTGAATGCCCTGGTCGACCCATTGTCTCCGCCTGCTCCTGCCCC